CTTCACACTAAAAACTAAGATAGGAAAAACTTACTGACGTTAGAAAAACAAATTTAAATAAAAAATGAGTCCTACCTCCTTGTTTGTCTTCAAACCTGGGTATATTTCTAGTGACCGAAGGAGATCGGCAATATCATCCTGCATTCGACATTGTTTTCCAAGCTGTTTGAAGGGCATATCGTTATTTATCAATCGTTCAAACATGGAGCAGTTGAGATTTTTTTGTGTCAGTTTGTAACAATTTACACGAGGTTGAAGCTGCTTCTGATCTCCTAGCATTACCAAATGCTCTATACTGGGCGGAAGGACTGAAATTAACTGCCCCTCGATTATTTCTGCGGCTTCTTCAACGATCACAGCGCATGGCTTCAGGTGATCTAAAATTGTTAGCATCATTTTTAATAAAAATCATGATCATGGCTGAAAAAGGAAGAAGGGCAATCCAAATAGGTGCATGCAACTGCAATATTCATCGGAGAAATCGTCGATTTATTGCCTGCTGAAAAATCGCAAAGTTCCGAATAAAATAGACTGTAGTCAATGAACTCAGTTCTTCATTAAGGTCTTAGCCAGATATGGAATTTTGGCGTCCAAATTTGAAATTTGACATGTAATTTATTATTTACGTGAAGGTGAATTTCGTTTGATGTTATAACTGTACATTTTTATTGCTTTTCAAGAGAACAAAATCACACAGTCATTTCACAACTTGTGTAATATAATATTCAAATTCTGGATTTAAGCAAATAAGGTATTTTACTTATTGCAATTCCCTCCAATTTGACTTTCAATCATGGAGATAAAAAATTTTTAGCCAATGACAAAGAAAACAACGATAAACATTATTTACTTATACGTAAAAGAATTGTACATAAAATAAAAATCTTTTGTAGTGTGTAAATCTATCATTATGTAAATAGGTTGCATGATTGCTGTTGTATTGCTCACATTGCTGATATCAGATATAATGGTTTTCTTAATAAAATTGAAATATTATTATTTCCCCTTTGCGTTTACTTGCTGAATTCAATGGTTGAATGTTAACTTTGTAGAATGCACCTTTTTGGATAGACGCTGATTACACTCTAAAAACAGGTGTGTTCAATTACACACCAAGGTGTGTTTAATTACACATCAAGGTGTGTTTAATTACACACCAAGGTGTGTACATTTTACACACCTTCCTATACAATTTTAGAAAACACACCTGTGCGTGTTAGAAAACACACCATGATGTGTTAGAAAACACACCATGGTGTGTAACAAAACAGACCTAGGTGTGCTAAGAAACACACCTGTATTTTACACACCTTTTCTTACACACCTTTGATGCATATAAGGTGTGTTCAATAACACACCTTTTGAATGAAAACACACCTTGGTGTGTTCGGGAACACACCTCATACTAATTTGCAAAAACACATCTTGGTGTGTTAGATAACACACCCTACGCCGATTTTGGAAAACACGCGTGCACGGTGTGTACTGAAAAATGCTTTTTAGTAACATACAATAAATCCAATCATCAATCACGGTGATGTATGCTATAATATGTTTTTCGGATATATACAGTAGATGTAAATGGCGATATCGACTTTGCCGGCGATATCAAGTTTTACGTGTCTAATAACCGTTTGATATTTGTTGTGTAGTATTTTATTCTTTCGCATGTAGTAAGAGCATTACTGGGACTATTTATTTTCTAAGAGATTAATCTGTCTTTAGCACACCATTAATATCTGAAATATAGCCGGTAACTGGCCTTTTGAAGCTCTTCGGATCGAAAGAAACGAAAATTCTCACGATGAGCGCGATTTTACAGACTGGTGCCTAGTTTTCGTACTACGCGCGCAAAGCTTCCCGGGATAGCGTCATTTATTCACACCGCCATTACGCCATATTTTTCAAGCCTTCATTCTGAATTTATGGTTCGAAAAATTCGCTTTTTTTAAGCGACGACGAATGATTTGAACGAAGAGGAAACAGCGGGCATGACTGAATAACATTCAGGTAAGCATATTGTTATGTTATATGTATAATGGAGCAGTTTTGAAAGTAAATATTCGCTATCTTCATTCATGAATTTTGAGCATGTGTTCATGTTTAAAATTTGAATTTGCCGCGACAATATTTGAAATTAATTTTGAATTAAAAAGATGATATATTAGTTTTATAGAAGGCTTACATTTGACTTTTTATTAAATTATGTTTATTGCATAAAGGGCAACTAATATTTGTGTATATGAATATATGACAGACTACCAGATAACAATGTTTCTGGTATAAAGTATAAATATAGCTTGGCATCTACTCAATCATCATATGCTCAACTACACATGTCCCAGCTCAACATGGTTTGAGAAAATGTAACCACTTGTTTCAAATCAACTGCTACTTTCATAAGTTTCTAATTTTTATATATCTAGGTTTTTTATGTCCAAATTCTTCAATCAATGAAAAAATCTATTTCACTGTTAGAGGTTTTTTGCACCAGTCAATGAAATAAGCCCAGTAGCCCACTACGTTATTCAACATTGACATTGTCTTTTAATTAACCCATTAAGCTGTGGAGCTTCCCCATTGACAAGTAAAATTGTCTGGGATAAGACAAGTAAAAAAATAAGTAAGGCACACTGGGGCGCATTGCGGCTTGATGGGTTTACCAGAGACATTGTCAAATTTTTTGGTCAACCCATTAAGCTGCAGAGTTTCCCCATTGACGAGTAAAATCGTTTGGCGTTAGACAAGTGAAAAAAAAGTAGAGCGCACTGGGGCGCGTTGTGGCTCAATGGGTTAATATATCAGAGAACAATATTTAAAAACATTGTCTTTATAGCTTAAGTCAACGACAAAACGTCGTTAATTAATCAAAGTGCATTATTACTATGTGTTTATTTTCCTGTTTATGACTGACTTGTTTATTATACTAACACAAAAGATTGAATGTCCATGTATAAGCTCTATCCCTCCTATATACTGTAACCCCCCCCCCCTCCCTTTGTATAAGCCCACCAAATATATAGCCCAGGGTTTATAGTCCGAGATTTACGGTATTCCATGAACCCATTAAGATGGGATGTTGTGATGGATTAACAGACTGTGTGTGCATGTCTCAGTTACCATTAGCACTTACATACCCTAATTTAACCCATTAAGCTGCAGAGCTTCCCCGCGTTTTCCCCGTTTCCTAGGATACAAGGCCTCATCACGATTTATGAATAAGGTCTATAGTACTCTGATTTTCCATTTAACATACGAGCCTCTAGTCCTGGGATAGGGTACATTTTGATTTACGATGGACAAAGCTACAGTTCTGTCGGACACCAATACACTCAGGTCGGACAAACAATAAACCTCAATTTCACTTTGGTCGGACAGAATGTCTGGTGGTTTCCTCTCTACGTCGGACAATTTCACTAATGGGTCGGACAATGTCCATGACCGACCGATATTTTAAGGCCTGCATAGCTGGATTAACCCTAACCGTAGTTAAAATTTATGTATTTCTACATACAGTATCTTTTTGTTTTAAAATTATGAAAAGAAA